TGTTCACATTAATCCAAAAATAGGGAGGAGGGTGCCACAGAACTGGAACAATCGAAGGAGCTCTACTCAATTTTAACTGAAACTGCAAGAGAAATTAAAAGATGTTTTACTCAATTTAGCTTAAACTCCAAGAGAAATTAAAAGATGTTTATCCACACCATAAGAATAACCATGAATAAAATATGAAAATTTTACGAAAAGTTCATGGTACTGTTCATTTTAACGAAAAAATTACATTTTATACTAAAAAGTCAATCATGATACCATTCACTTTACCCTTTATTTTGTCCTTATCGTTAAAACTCAAAGTTTTCAAACCTATTTCATTAATTTTCCTAATAAAATATCCGATGTGCAAAATTCAACAAACAATGAAAATACAAAGACGCCTAAAGGAAGCCGGACGGTCCTAAAAAACTAATTAACTGGTTAAGAGCTTTCCAAATCATAAACGAAGTATACAAACGAGTAGCAATCCAAAGATTAAAAAGTTTCGAGAAAAATGCTTATGCACAAAAGCATCCCAAAAAAACCATTCAAGAACCTGTATGGGTAAATAAGTGCCAAATTGACAAGCGAACCAACTCCAAAATTTTCACGAAAAAGAACATTCAAGAAAAAGATGAGCAATAGACTCCTGTAATTGACAACACAAACAACAAGAAGAAGCCAAAGAAAATCCTCGATGTTTGAGAGCCAATTCCGTATATGAAGTTTCTCATGAAAAATACACCATGCCAAAGTGGATAACTGAGGAGGGATGAAATTCCTCCATATAAGATAATAGAACTCCATTGACAATGTTGCATACGAGGGCGGACTAAATCATATACCCAGTCAAAAAAGAAAATTCCCATTACTTAGTTTGTAATAAAAATAATTTCTAGTTATTGAAATTGTTTGATTCTATTCCAGCATCACTTTATAATCGACAAAACTGATTTATAATTTTGTATATGTAGTTACAAAAAATTTAATAACACATACAAAAGAGCTATGCATGGTCTCTCTCTAGACGTATATATATCATGTAAGATGCAAGCATGTGTAGGCCGTATGCCTAAAAGTGTCGTATTTTAATGCAATCGCGCATGGAGATAGCAAAGAAGATAAGAAATCCGAGGGCTGCATATGTATGAAGGCTTCAACTTCGTCGTCTTCCCAATCCCAGTCGATATCAGATACCGATCACTGCATGCATGCTCATTTGCATTGTATCGCACACAGTCGGAGTATATTGCTGAAGGAAAAGACAAAAACATAGAAGAAATAAGATTTTGTGCGATTGATTAAAGCATTATCTGCGTTAGACATCCTGGCACGGCAATTGTAAACACTATACGAAGTTGATTATTCAAGAAAAACGACGTAGCACCCTAACTCGATTTATTATCATGCTCTTGTCGCCAAGTGGTTCAGATGTTAGCTCTTAAAACCTAAAAGCATTGGGATAAATGAAGACCAAATAAGATTAAGAGTGAGCTAATCTTGCAAAGTGCTGTACATGGCTATTCAATATTATCAATCCGGAAAATACTAGCGAAATTAAATTTTTAGACCACCTTTTATAATTATATGATGTGTTGGTTGATGATTGGTTTTTTTTTTAGTAATTTAAAAAAAATTCAACCATCAATCGTCACATTATACTTTCAACACTTTCTACAAAAGATGACTTAAAAATTTAATTTTTCTAACCTCACCGTACCAATCCCCTATGGATAATATATAGTTTTATACATATATGATCTATAATATTACCACCGGTAACAAAATTATTGTTTTTTGTCCTACGCGTAGAAAATGACTCAAGACAAATGTATTAAAAAAAATGAGGCGGGCAGCTAGCCCTAAAGCTTTATTAAATATAGATGAGGAACCATATGATTACATGCAAGGAGTAAATCTCGAGCTATTCGGATTTGATTGAGAAGGATGCTCTGTTTACTTCGGGTTTCTCTTTCTGTTTATGAAGTGTATTATATTATGTGTGAGTTACCCCTTTCTCTTTTTCGATTTACTCATTCATGATTAGAGATATAATAATAACACAATTATCAATAAAAACAACAAGGTTTCCCTTTCAAAGTTGAAAGTAGGGAACAAGAAAAAAAACATGATTCACCTGATGCACCGTTATATACTTAATCGCAGTGGCAGATATAGGTTGGGGCAAGGGTGCATCTGCCTCTCTATTGCCTGAAAACATCTTGACCGTTTACTTTTATAGAGAAAATCCTGAATCCGTCACTCTTTATATGTGAGGGTTTATTATTGTTCTCATGCAGGGGTTCATATGTAAAGACTCTAAGTTGCAAGGCACTAATCTATATCTCTGTTTTGCGACACGTCATTTTATTCTGTAAAACAGAGAGGCACTTTTTTAGGGTTTAGGAGCTTCTCGTGCAGGGCAAGGGTTAGATAATACGCACTGCACTAGCTTTGTTCGCGACGCATCGTCTCCGTGCATAGTTTATTTACGTAATTAGCCGAAGACAGAGTGTGTTTAGAAGGCAAATTAAGAGGAATGAGCAATTAGGGTGTGGAGGTGGTGTTAATAACTTGATTAGTGTAGCGTTAAGAGGAAAAGGACGAAGACAAGGAAAGGTACAGATAGATAGTGAGGAGGAGGGGCCCACGGGCAGGTGGGTATCCATGAGAGAAATCCGAATAGTTGTCGTTTAATGGGTCAGAGAATACTTGTGTTGTGCACAAATTGTTTGGTTTTGTGTTTTGGGAGTTGGATTAGAAATTAGAAATTTAGAGAGAGAAGTGATGCCAGAACAAACTACAGATGGTTTCCACGTGATGCGGGCCTTTTGGAGGCGAGTACGGGAATGGGACTGTCATTGTCCTTACCTGTGGCGGCTGTGCCTCTAGGCTCTTGCCTTCCTCTCGTTTTCAGTCCTCCTACATTACTGAGTTCAGATATTTATCTCATTTCTTCATTCTTAGTGAATCAAACGTTCTACTTAACCTAAACATAATTCATCATTTTCAAAAAGATATTTAGTATAACCATCTCATTATTTTGCGTATTTTCCATTCATTCATGTAATAACGTGGATTCTATTGTCAATTAATACTTCAATTCATATTAAATCAACAATGTCTTCTACCTATACAAATAATACAACTATAACAAATAGATTAGTAGCATCATATCATCATCAAGTAGTCATATCTAAAAATTTATGCATTCCTCACTACTCTCACCACTTGGACTAATAAATCAAATGGCGAAACAGATAAGAGATTAAGTCAAAAGGCGTAAATCAGGCATCAAATGTTGGGCTCTAGTGTCGAATTTGAGTCCATGACTCGTCGTTCGAGGAGTGCAACATCACAAGCCAAACTCGCTACTTTGTTGTGACATATGGATTATTATATCTTTTACAATTCTAAGTTTTAGTATGGTTTCCATATTTTCTTACTTGTTTAATTCTTTTACTATTTGGGATCCTAGAAAGTATAGGGCTAAGGGTCATTATAAATACTATCTTCAGGTGATAGGTTTGTTACCTTTCATATATGATTTCAAGGGAGACCACAAGTAGTATTTTTAAGATGATACATACTGAGATGCAATATGTTTACACTAAGAAGCGGGGAAATAAATTGGTTACAAACTCGCAATTTACGAGATTATAATACTTACATTCCCCTCTTGGGGAGATGAGATCATTCCTCTCTTGCAAATAATGTGTATTGACCGCAAATAATTCATAAGGGGAACCGTTCAATTTCTTAATAGTCATTTGAAGATCACCCACACAAAAAAAAAAAAAAAAAAAAAAATCATTTCAGTCCAAGGTCATTTAGTCATTCAAATGGTTAGAACAAATCGACGATGTAGGTAACAAATAACATATTCATGATGAATTGTCCATTTATTTGATGCATTTGGATGAAACGCTCTCTAATTATAACGATTTTTTTTATAAGAGTGATCTTTGAACCTAACACATAAGGGATGCAAGTGTTATTCTTATGAGATTCAAATCTAAAAATATTTAACTTACAAATGAAGAGAAATATCACTAGACCATAGTACTAGGTGATAATCATGATAATCGAATTAAACAACGATGATAATTTTTAATTTTATTTGCACGAGTTACTTTGACTAGTCATGGGGGATTTTCAACCTTGCTAGTAACAAATTATTGGATTCTCTTACACAATAATAATTTACGTGATCAACGCGACGCTTCTTGTCATGTGGGGACAGACGTATACCACCTCTCCCTAAGATTTCAAAATTAATGTTTGTAATGGTTTATATAATATTCAGAAGAATGTTGCAGCATTTAAAGACAAACACCAAGACAACATTTTAGCTAGTATTCCCTTGCATTCTATATTGCCACAACCGTCCAAATCTCCAGGTATAAAAAAATACAAGAATAAATACAAGAAAACATGCATATAATTAAAGTATCTCGCAGATGAATACACTACAAAGAAAGCTCTGTCAATCCTCCATGGATTCTAGCATCCTATTACTCTGAATCATCCATTAGGGTGGGGCCCGTGGGCCATCTCTCCCCTTGGATCTTTCTCTAGGGTTTTAACCCAACCCCACGGAGGTCGAAAGAGCTTTCAATTTAAACTAAATGTATTGATCAGTGGCGACCACAGACGATGGATCGATTTAGGACCATTGATTTATTGATATAAGCTTATGATGGACAGCCATGATCAAATCACGTATTGTTTGTAAAAGAGAAGCACTTATGCTTGTAAGCAAAAAATACTTTAAAAAAAAAAAAAAAAAAACTTTGATTAGAACAAATTTGAAAGCGTTTGCATAAGCAAACTTTTAAATTTTTCTGTTTAATTTGATTTAGAGTTACTAACTAACTGTGTTAAACATGTTTTAGCCATTCTGACGAAAAAACGTGTCCTTAAACTGCTAATTAATTTAAGGTTGGTAACCGATTATGATTAAACTAAGTTGGTAATTACTAAATATACATGCAGTTCTCGAGAGAAAAAGGAAAGGTAAAGGTACATATAAACCTTTCTACATTAAAAATATAAAAGGAAAAAGTACAAAAAAAAACTAGCCGCTCGTAGTTTATTGGTTCCCTTGTGTCACTTTTTTTGTCTTGCTTTTTGTTCTTCACTAAGAAAACTAGCTAGCTAATTACAAGACTTCCCCCGGAAACGGTAGAAAAAAAAAAAAGAAAAAAGAAAAAAAACTGGCTTTTCCTCTAACTTTGCCTTTGTCCTAGTTCTTAATTTTCCAAAGTGTTTCAACTCTCAGCAAAACTCTCAGGCCTACCACCACTGCTCATCTCCTTCAATGATGTCATTTTCTCTCCTCACAGTTTCTGGTTGGTTTTCTGTTGAACCCAGTTTGAGAAGGCTTGCAGGGTTTTCACGTCGGCTCTGTAATGCTTCATTGTGAACTCCAGCAGCATCGACCATGTGAAATCCGGGTATTTTCTCGGACTCAAAGTATCTACCAACCCGCTCGGCGGCTTCACGACTTTATCGTCTCTCGGGCACAAGAAGAATGCAAGAGACTTCCTTGGTGTTTCACTGTTCACCACTGCCCTGTGCAGCCCGCTCTTGTACTTCCCGTTTGAAAGAGCCTATAAATTAAGCAAAAAAAACAACAAATTAATCCCATAACAAATACAATTAAAAAAAAAAAAAAGAAAAGATTTTTGCACTCTTATTCTCTCATACGAAGTTCTGTTTACTTTTGACGTTTGAAATGAATAAATTAAAAGAGAACAAAGAGCCATAAATAAACAGTTGTGTGCGTGTGCGGAAATTAGTTCCCTAAGACAAACTAATTCGAATGTTTTGCTTACCATGAAGGTGTCACCAATGTTGACTACAAAGGCATTTAAATTAGGGCTAATGGAGTGCCATTGATCATCAACGAAGACTTCAAGGCCTCCAACTTGGTCTTGGTGAAGAATGGTCAAAGAAGTTGGGTCACAATGAGGGCCAGTGCCTAAAGTCTGCTCAGGTTTCTGACACGGTGGGTAGTAATTAAGCCTCATTATCGAATCATTGTCATCGAAAAACTCCTTGAAGTAAGCTCTGTCGACTCCAAGGCTCAGTCCCAGAAGTTCCATGATCCCAATAGAAAGTGTGCTCATCGCCTCACTATAATCTTGGTAAACCCTCCTAAACACAAGAAAAATAACACAAATGGTAAGAATTAATTTAGGAAACGATTCAATTACGGCAAAATTTGAGTAACATTGCGCATACCCGAATTCCTTGAATTCTTCTCCCATTTTGTTGCAAAAATAATCTTGGATAATATTGGTTGAGCCTTTTTTGGCGGAGTAGCTGAAAGAGAGGGTCTCTTTCCACGGGAGTTTTGAGGAGAATCTGCCAGTGAAGCTGCTGGCATAGCCACAGCTCTCCCCTGCTTTCCTTTGAGCTCTCTGTTTTTCGGAGAGTGGCATTCCAAAAAAGTCATCCATGCAGCGGTGAGCGTCCGCGATGAGCTTGTCGTCGACGCCATGATTCACGATGAGGAAAAATCCATGCTTCTGGCATGCCTCTCCTACAAGTTTCGAGGCTTTCACAGCAGCTTCTTTGTCGCCCGAGAGAAAGCCTCCCAAGTCTATGAGTGGGACTCGGAGCTCGGGAGTATTTTTGCAAGGCTTTTCGTCATCGGGCCATATGAACTGACTCGGAATTTCAGTTTGGTACCTTAAAACTGAGGCATCAAAAACCAATGGTTTCTGGTCATCCTCTTTGTGCTGCTGGGTTTTCTGCGTTTGTGGGGAGGGAGGTTGTGCCATGGTTTGCATGCTGCTGGGTTTGATCACGCACTCAACAGCCGTTTTTGCATGAACAGAAAATGTATGTGAGTTGGGGGAGGAGGGTTTGGGAATCTGATTGAAATACAGAGGAGAGGAAGGGAGTGAAATAATAAAGTTTGAGAGGTGTGATGAGAGAAATGCCAAGGCCGTTCTTATTGGGTGAACGAGTGAACAAAAATTGGAATCTTATAGCTAGCTCTCCCTCCTCCTTCACATTATATTTGTTTGCAGAAAAGGGCTTTTATATAGGGAAATTGCAATGGGCGGGGCCTGTAGATGGGCAAAATTGGGAGAGTAATTGTCTGTATGGTTGTTGCCAAAAAGCGTTTCCCAATGGCATTTTGGCACTTCCTTCTGTGGAGGAAAATGCTAATGTCACCCACTAAAATCGTCGAAAGGGTTCAAGTGCCACTACTAGACCAGCAAATAATGGTACTCCTGTACTATTTTCTATGGGAAATAATAATTTTGGAAATGATTTCTGTGTGTGTATATATAGTATATCACGTTACCAATGTTGTATAAATTATATAATTGGACCAACCATTTTCAGTGCCTTGAGAGATAAGAGAGCCACCATTCTCTTTCTACGAAATGCTTGAATTAGCGATTAATGACTTTGTGAAAATTTGTTTAGGCTAGTGATTAGAGAGAGTGGGCTGATGTGTAGGTACAAGTAGGCTAGATGAGGCTTCGAAACCTTCTAATATAACAAAGCAGAAAAAAAGGGTTAAAAAGAATTAAATTAGGGAAAGCCTTTCATCTAAAACATATATTTAATTAATTTACCACATTTCCTCAGTCATTTAATTTTCTCTAGATGAAAATATATAAATTTTACGTTCATTTACTTAAATAATTGAAACATATCACATAAAGAGAGCAATACGAAGTAGTTGAAGGTAGAGTTCTTTTGACACAAAAGCTTAAGATCACGAGGAATTTATGCAGTTTTCAGTGGGGATTGCAAGAGGTTTTGTTGAAGAGAAAACAAAATATGAAAATTGCTAGCTAGGCGCTTGCATGTAACTGTGAGTTGGCAAGCAATGGAAACGGCTAGGGGGTTGCTTGACATCAGGATTAATTTCCAGATAAACTACATGCAAGAGAGAGGAGAGGTAGTGAGAGAATTAGAGGAGATAGTGAGAGAGTGAGAGATAGTGAAGAGAGAGAAGAGAGATTAAGTGAGAGGAGTGAGTGTGAGAGAGAGGGTTGGATTTGGGGAGAGGGAAAGAGAGAGGAGAGGTAAGAGTAGAGAAAGACATTGAGAACAGGGTGGATGAGTTATTTTGGTTTTAAAAGCCGTATCACTTTGCGCGACAAAGGATACAAGTATGTGTAACGAAATATTGGTTGCGCAAAGTCTTAAAAAAAATTTCCCGCGTCCCATTTTTGGTGCCCACCCAAATTTTTAGAGTTTTGTGTGACGAAGTGTTGGTCGTGCAAAGTTTTGCACGACAAAGTGTTGGTCGCTCGAAGTTTTGCGTGACGAAAAATTGTTCGCGCAAAGTCTTAAAAAAATTAAAAAAAAAAATTTCCCGCGACCCATTTTTTGTACCAGCCCAAATTTTTAGAGTTTTGCTCGACGAAAAATTGGTCATGCAAAGTCTTAAAAAAAAAATTTCCCATGTCCTATTTTTGGTGCCCGCCCAAACTTTTAGAGTTTTGCGCGACGAAGTGTTGGTTGCACAAAGTTTTGAGTGACAAAAAATTGGTCGCGCAAAGTCTTAAAAAAATGTTTTAAAAAAAATTCCCGCACCCATTTTTGGCTCCCGTCCAAATTTAAGGATTATGCGCGATGAAATATTAGTTCGTCGCGCAAAATTTATAAAAACAATTTTTATAAATAATAAAAAAAAATTTATTTTACAATTTAAAATATAAATAAATTAAAATAAATAAGGTTTACACGACCAAATGTATATTCGTCGCGCAAAGAAAATAATTTAAAAAAAAATTAGTTTAACAATATCAAATATAAAAATAAATAAAAAATAAGTAAATAACGGTTAGGTGACGAAATATTGATATTCGTTGAGCAAATTTTTTAAAAAATAATAAAAACTTGTGAAAACAACTATATTTTAAAATTTATAATATAAAATAAAATAAAATAAAAATTGGTTTGTACGACGCATGTATACAACTACACTTATATGAATAAACGAAATATCACGCTTTAACGGTTATTTTAACTCCGATTTTGATGATTTTTTTACAACTACACTCCTTAACCCTATATGAATACAATAAATGAATGAATTCGATCTTCAATTTAAAATATTTACACTAATGGATACCACAAAATCTTATGTTGTACTTAATGAAAGTATAAATAAACTTTAGGTGTTAGTGAATCTATCGTTTTGATGGGATACGCATTCTACGAAACTAGTTTCAATGATTCAACCGTCCAACTTGTTTGTATATACTTCAAGATCGCAAACGCCAAAAATCTAAAAAAACAAACATTCAGAGATCAAGTAACGAGACAAAAGTTTTAGACGATTATAAACAAAAAATCACGATTTAACGATTATTTTAACTCCGATTTTGATGATTTTTTACAACTACACTCCTTGACCCTAATGAATACAATGACTGAATTCAATCTTCAATTTAAAATATTTACATTAGTGAATACCACAAAATCTTATGTTATACTTAATGAAAGTATAATAAACTCTTAAGTGTTAGTGAATCTATTGTTTTGATGGGATACGCATTCTACAAAACTAGTTTCAAAGATCCAATTGTCAAACTTGTTTGTATATACTTCAAGATCATATACGCCAAAAATCGCAAAAAATAAACATTCAGAGATCAAGGAATGGGACAAGACTTTTCGACGGTTATAAACGAAAATTCATGATTTAACGGTTATTTCAACTCCAATTTTGATGATTTTTTACGGTTACACTCCTTGACCTTATATGAATATAATGAACTAATTCGATCGTCAATATAAAATATATTTTTCTAACAAAAATCCGATCCGAACTACAATAATATATTTTTCTAACAAACACCCGATTCAAACTACAATAATAAATTTAAAGCTATTGAATAAATATATATACCGTTCAATTTCTTAAGTGTTATACATACAAAATAAAGAACGAAAATAAATTTGTTTAGGCGACGAAATATTTGAATTACGTCGCGCAAAGATTTAAAAAAAGAATATTTTTTTTATTTTTGTAAAGACTTTGCATGACGAAGTTTAAAGTTTCGTACTTTGTGCAACGATGTGTGATGTTGTTTCGTCGTGCAAAATTTTGTAGCATAAAGTGACTTTGCGCCACGTTATGTTTTTCATCACGCAAGACATTGCACGACGAAGTTTAGAGTTTTGTTGTGCCAAGTGACTTTGGGCGACGATGTGTGTTTCGTTGCGCGAGAGTTTTTTTTTACTAGTGGTATTTGGGGATCACCGAATCGAATTAAATTATCGTCATTACAACCATTTTCGTTACATGAAATAATATGTGATTGAATTACATTTCACATATGTTTTAACTTTTTCATATAATAATATGTAATTGAATTGAAATATCGTCACATTAACATTTTCGTTACATGAAAATTTTTCCTCATACCTAGGGGATTTAGATGTCATTAGGATTTTCCAGATGAACGACTTGACAGGGACTATAACTCAGGTACTAGTGCAGAATGACACCCCGCGCCCCAAAAACAAAAAAAAAATTAAAAATTAAAAACCTTCAGGTGCTAGGGTTTTGCATGTCATGGGAATAGCTGGGTAGAATGACCAAAGGGTTGCCCTAACAGTCACCATCTGTACTATGTATGGTCTAATTAATTGCTGACTGATATCACCATTGCTGTCAGCTCACTAAGATGATGATATTGAATGATATGCAACGAATATTTGATAACGAACGTGTAGAACATCGTGTGTTTGTTTTCTTGATAGAGAGATAGGGAGAAGGTGGACCAAGATTTTAACAGTTCATCATTAGTACTGTAGAATATATATTTGGTGTACTTAATTACGTACTTGGGATAGATTTTTAATGGACAACAATAAATTGAACAATGCCTTCCACTTTACAAAATGACTGATGAATAAGCCAAGCATCACAAGAGAAGAGATATATTCTATTGATTCATGAGCATTTCCTTTACAAAATTAGATGTGCACCATGATCGAGAATAATTACATAGCAATAGCTACAACAGGCCAATGCTTGCTCGTTGTACCCAAATAATATGCTGTGGCGTATCATTTAGCAATCAAACGACTATGTAGTATCTAAATAATAATCTCTATAATTTATCTTTGTAACTATCTACACCATGCAAATTTAATATCCTAGAGCAAGAGCCTGGTTCTGTTTTTAACTTCCCTTTTATTTTCCCTTCTGTTTTTAATTTTTGTGTTTATAGCATCTTAAAGCTATGTATGCCGTGTGTGTGTGTGTGTGTGTGTATGTTGGAAGAAAGACGATAGAAAGGATGCATAATTAATTTATATTGGGGGAGAGGGATGCATAATGTATATTAGTGGGGGTGGGAGTGAGAGGGGGAGGGGGATGAGGGGGAGGGGGATAGGTGGGGAGCCTCAAACCCGGGTGAGAATTTATAACCATTTTACTTTTTAAGTTTTTGAATTCTTCAAATTCATTCCTCTCCTTCTCCCAGTCCCACCATCACCTTCAGCATTATTCATCACCTATTTTCTCTATCTTTGTCAAGGTACTAAAAATTATTAATTAAAAACGAAATGGTTATAAAAAGGTCTTTGATTCAATGAAATTTAAAAACGATGAAGCATTATAATTTGACACTTTAGTGATCATTGAGTAGATGTGGGGCAGACTATTGTCAATAATTTAATAAAAGATTGAAATTAATTAAAATTTTCAAAGGGGTTAACACATTAGAAGCGTGTCACGATTCTAATATGTGGTTTACACATTTTAAAGCACCACCAAAAGAAATAAAATCCCATTAGGTCTGTAAAGGAGTTGGCAATAAAGGTCAAGTGATTAAAGGCAACTAGCATCGGTGGTGGGTAATTTGATAACACTGTGCATGCATATATAAGCAGCAGCCAACTAGTTTAATAGTTTGAAGCAAAAACACAAGTCCATGGAAAACTTGATTGGGTTCAACTACAAGTAGAAAGTGAGTGCCATATATTTCGTCGGCAACATGCTTCAGTTCCTTTCATTATCCACTAAAAGAATTG